CCAGCAATTCAGGAAGGTGAGATGGGAGGATTGCTTGAGCCACAGAGGTCATGGTGCAGTGAACTGTGGTCACACCACTGAGCTCCAGTATGGGCCACAAATTGAGGCCTTGTCTCAAAATGAAAACAAAACAAAACAACAAAAAGTATAATTTTGGGTGTTAGTAGGACTGCATCTCAACTAATTTCTAAATGATTTTATAATAGGATAAATTATTGGTGGACGGATGGATGCTCCCTCTAAAGCACTAGAAGAATGCCATAATTTATCTTTTTAAAATATATTCTGGATGCTGTGTGAAAAATAGAAAAAAAGGGAAACAAGGTGATTATTTAAGAGACACTTAAAATTAATCCAGCTGGAGCTGATGAGATTAAGGTTGTACTGGTGAAAATGTTAAGATGTACGAATTGTAGACATATTTTGAATGTAGCCTAAATTCAGCTTGTTGAGAAGCTGTTCGAGAGAAGAGGATTCAGTGAGATACAGACAGTTAGATTTTGGCCAGACTACTTAAGTGCAGTGTAATCTCATTAACTCACACGAAGAAGGCTACAGAAAAAGCAGGATTTGGTGGTGAAAATTAAGAGTCTTTAAGGTATTTTCAGTGTGTGGTATATCTTAGATATTCAAGAGAGAATTGACAAAGAGGCAGCCGGCTGGAAGTGTGTATAAATGTTTGACAGTCATTAACATTTAAACCATGGGGCTTGATGAGATTGTTTATGTGTTCAGCTTGGAAAGAAGGGAATGAAAACACACTAAGGTTTCTAGTATTACAGGCCTTAGACATAGTAAGACAAAGATATAGCAAAGGTTACTGAAAGGAGCTGCTCATAAAATAGATGTAAAATAAACAGAATTGACTCCATTCTTAAAAATAACCAAGAGACAAGTCTGGAACGTGTATATGGGAAGATATGTACAAAAATGTCCTTTTATTGCATTTATAATAAAATATTTGAAGAAAACTTAAATATTCCTTAATAACCTAAAATATAAGTATATTTTGTTTTATTTAAACTAATGGATACAAAGCAGGAAGAAAAATGAGTAGACTAGAGCTCATATAACAAAATGGATAAATCTCTCAAATGTGATCCTATTATTGTTGTTATTATTACTGTTATACTTAGCATGCTTTGTGATTTATATTACCTACATAATTAAAAGGCATCATTCCAGTCTCTATTTTTGAAATAAATAAGAAAATGTTAATATATATCTACCATTAGATGACTTTTCAGAATCCAAAATATCTACTTATATTCATAATTAAAGGTTTTTTAAAGTGAAATGAAAAATATACAATTTTATATTATATTTGAAGGCAGTAAGTGGATAAATCTGCTTTTAACAGCCAGATGATTTAGGTGATTATATTTATATGGTTCTCTGGATACAGTAATGGCAATCATTTCATAATTATATTTTAGAAATTTCATGTAAATTAATATTTGTAAAATACGTATATATCTAATTACATATAAAGCTAATTTGGCATTGCTTTGAAAATGTGAATGTATTTACCTAAGAACACATGTGAGGTAGCCAGATTTCTTAGATAATCCCCAGGATTTCTGCCCCCTGTATAATCCCTGAGGTTCTGCATATGATAGGTTGTTGCTTTGTTGATTAAGTTATGTTGCGTGGCTTTAAAAAATAAGATCCTCGCCGGGCGCGGTGGCTCAAGCCTGTAAT